GTGTGTGTGTGTGTGTGTGTGTGTGTGTGTGTGTGTGTGTGTGTGTGTGACTAACCAAACTGTATCATATTGGCAGGGGGGTGTGTATGGGGAGGAGGGGAAGGGAGCATGCATGCATGTACACCCCCTCCCCACTCCAATATGATATCATTTGGATAAATAGTTGCATAAATGGACAGGCTTCTTAAATTACATATTTGTATGCTTTTTTGTTTGGATAATTCACCTGTTAGTTTTGTTTATTCAATTCATATGCAGCATAGAAATATAGGAAATCCTCAGATGTAGGATTACAAACCCTGGCCTGTTCTGTATCTTTAAGTTTTAAAGATTAAAGAGTTGGTAGCAAAATTCATATATGAGCTATAACTGAAGGAGGGTACAGCTTTAAATAATTATGTCAAAGAAATGACAACTGTGCTCTTTGCAGGAGCAAGGATGCATAATTACAAAGCTGGGACATAATTAAGCAATTTTGACTGTCGTATTCTTGAGCTGTCGTTCTAATGTGAAGTGCTGTCATGCCCAGAAACACACTTCACACTGGACAGGCATCTTCCACTTTGATCTATACTTATGCCAGTGAAATGAGGTCATGGTCTGGTCATTAAACGAGGCTTCCTCATCTGGCTCAATGCCCCTTATCCAGCAAGGCTAACAAGGTTTTTATTAAAATCAAGCATGATACTATGTTCAATATTTTGACAAAAGAAAATATAAACATCATGGAGTAATAAAGTTTAGTTCATTTTACATGGAGAGATGGAATAGTGTATTGTAACATTAAACTGCTTTTAAATAAGTGACTACATCTCTCCACAAAGGCAGTCACATCACCAATAGATGCATTTTAAACAAAGGATGAAATGAAGCAAAGCATAAGACAGTGAAGTGTTTTGTTAAAAAAAAATAAAAACTAAAGGCATACATGAAAGTGTAGAAATTTATACAAAATAAAATATTTATGACTTTGTGATGATTGGTGATTGCTAGATACTTCTGCATTTGAATAAGCACAAGCTAGGCAGACGGAATTTTTTTTTTTTGGCTTTTATTTTCAATTCATGTACCTCTTATTTTTGGTGGGGCATTTTGCTATCCCAAATATTTTATGTCAATAATAAAATGAAAGCAACTCTCCACATCACAGCTTTTTCAGATCATCATTTTGCTTTTTTCTGCTGAATAAGCAGTACTACCTCCTGCTTACTTTAAGGGAAGTAAACAGATTTAAGATTTAGACTTTTTAAAATGAAAAATAGATCTAATAAGGTACTATGTATGCACTATTGGAAATGATTTTTACAAGGCATCTTTTAGTATCTTCCCATGCACTCAGATCCACAAGCTAGCTCCACACACACACGCATGTGCGCTCATACACTGTGGTTGCTACTAAAAAAAATAATCTGCATTTACCAAATTAACTTACACTCATTTCTGTCATACAAGGTAAATCTTCATTCTAGATACTCTTTCATCATAAATGTGGGTAAATAGTGTTTTAACTGATTTCCCACAGTATTTCTACGTGGCCAACGTATCTCTCAATAAGTATACACCTTCTACTTAGGAATACTTTCACACATACAGAATGCATATAGATACAAAAACATGAATATCCACAGAAATGTGCACAAATTCAGAACAATTGTTTGGAGGGGTTTTTTTGTTTTATTTTGTTTTTTTCAATGTCTTTTAAATCCAATTTACTCTCTTAAAGTAGCTATTTGTATAGCATGTAATTTTGTATGATGATGATGATGATAATTTTGTAGCACCCCAACAGGCATTTACTCATGCCATCAAAATGCATTTGCAAAAGGGATTTTATTATGCTAGACATCATCAGCAATTCTGCAATGAACAATTTAAAAAAACTTCAGCATGGCTATAACAATAATAAATCTGTGCCCTGTGCCAAGAAAATTCTTAAAATAAATATACATTTTATCATTAGTGGGTAAATAATTCAAAACTATACAGTGGATTCAATTATCAATATAAAAGATAAAGACTGTATCACATCTGTATCAAGCATCTTTCTTTTACCTATTAGTTTACAAGCAAAAACAAGAACATTCAGTAAAGTACGTTCAAGTTTAAACAACAGTGAATTTCCTTCTCCATTACTCAGTTGATCAAAACTCAAACAGATTTATAAATGAAGAATGTCTCTCTCAAAAGTATTAGAATAAAGCTTCACAATTATGCAGCTGTGATAAAATCTGATCAGATGGAATGAAAATGATTATAAGAATCAGACAGCATAAACACAACGTATTTTACACATTTCAACTGCTGCATATAGCAGGATTTAGTAAAGGCAGCTCACAGTAAGGAATTCCTTTCACAAGAGCTTAAAAATAAATTATTTCATTTATTACAGACTGTTATAAAAGCTGAAATAGCTAAAGGCACTGGTAAACAATATGTCAAACCTATGCCTAAATCAGAAGAACTGTTAACATTTTAATAGTTATAAAATGAATCAGTCTGAATTAATTTGCTATGTATTGCAACTGTACTGGTGATAATGAATTTATCTAGAAACACTGTTATGCCACCAAAGATAGTGTATTTCCATAACTATTGCATTATTATTCAGCATTATCAGAAATCTGCAATAAATTATTGATGATGAATTTTAGAGAAGAAAACAGCATGCAGAATGCTACTAGATTAGAAACTTGAAAAGACTTTTAGATAGCTAATCATTTCAAGAGCTATTTGTAATACTACAAATACATAGCAAAACTAGGGGTGCTGATTTCTTGTACCAATCAACCATGAAAGAACGCATGCTGGAAAAATCACATCCTTATTCTGTTTGAGTCAAAGGCATGCAATTTGCCCAACTTTGTGGCAACTGGTATCAAAGAGTTTGCATCTGAGTCACAGATTAGAGAAACTGTCTTTCCAACCTCATCAACACCATCATTAATATGACACCACATTAAATTACATTGTATCAAATTAGAATCAGCTGGTAAACTAAAGGTCAATAAACACCATAGGTGTGAGCTCTGAGACAGACATCTGTGCACAACATGCACGGCAGGGGACAAATTGTCAGAAAAATTGCCTCTCTCTATAGCAACATTTCGCACAGTTGTTATATATCTTTAGACAGAGCAAAATATTCCTTTGATCCTGATTGCATGTGTTGGTTACTTAGTTGAATGAAACAAGGTTAAAGCCATAACTATGAGGTCCTGACCATGGTCACAGTAAATTTTTGATCTTGCTAAATACAGAAAATACTATCATTTCTCCCATCCCTAGGTTATTAGCCAATGTGGGCACATCCAGACAAGCTCTCATGTGCCTCTTGCTGCGTCTCAAAGCAGTTGAGGTATCCAGATATCCAGGTATCAAAAAGTAACCCACAGAAAAAAAAAGTGTGGGAGGACTGTTCCCTGAGGCAACTGGAGGCTCAGGTTCTTTAAAGAGATGCTCTGGTAGCCAGACAGAGCATCTCTATGCCTGCACTTTGCAGGTGTGGGTCACCGTGTGGGGCAAGGAGCAGTGCAGGCTGCAGCAACCTAGACCTGGGTTCCTTTTCAAGTAAGTAGGGGTGGAGAGATGAAGGGGTAGGGGGGATGTGAGTGTGGGTGATGGGGGGGCGCAGCTCAGGAGGGGTGGGTCCTCCATCCACCCCCTGCAGGGCCCACATGCCCCACCCCATGGCCCACAGCTCACCAACAGCAGCAGCAGCCATCGGGGTGCCCTGGCACAGCTCTCCAACATGGCGCGACACAGTGTGGGGCAGCATGGCTAGGCCCTGGCTGCCTTTCACCCAGCACTGCCTATGCTACATTATACAGGCCCAGCCCAGTGTGGTGCTGTGCACATTCAGACAGCCCCAGGCCACTCATGTTGTCATCCAGGGCCCTGCACCATTTGCGGGGACTGCCTGTCACGCCTGGCCAGGTCCTGTGTGCATGGAACTAGCCCAGCTCAATGGCGCATGGAGCCTGTGCATGCAGGACCCAGCCCAGTGCGGGGCCCCGGGTGTCAGCCTGAGTGTCTTGAGCCAGAAGAACACTTTTTTGGGTATTATAATGACAGAATCTGGGTTCCTTATCAGAGTATTTGCAATTCATAAACAGGGAACACCAGGATCTCTGCTGGTGAGAAAAGTGGCAAGACCCGGGCAGAGGAGCCTCTCCAGGGCCAGCACTGGGGACCCAGCTAGAGGGCAGATGAGGTGGCTGGCTTCTTGGCCACTTGGGGCCAAGAGGATTCGAGTTAACAGTTCAAAGCAGGCCACCATAAAGAGCACATATTCTGGGTGATAGCTGCCCAGATAGTAGAACGGAGGCACCCCATATGGGTCTGGCAGGGGCGCAGCCATGGGCCACAGGTCCAAGGGGGCGGATGCTGTCGCAGGTGGCAGCAGTTCACAGCCAGGCAGCAGCCCCAAATGCCAGACTGTTGCAGTGGGTAGAGGGTGCAGAGGTCACTCCAGGTTAGGGCTGCTTCAGCAGTCCAGCTGGCACAAGGGGTAATGTCCCCAGACATCAAACAACCAGGCCTCAGAAGCTCCTGAAGGCAAGTAGCCCTGAGCTGCTCACCATGGCAGGTTTTTATATTGCTGGGGCCAGCACAGGTAGGTTTTTATACTGCTGAGGCCAGCATGGGTGCTGGCCCCAGGCTCTAACTCCCCTGGGTACAGATCTGGGAGGAGCTGAGGCAGAGTTATTTTGCCCCAAGTGACACAACTTGCCCTACACCAAAGTGCATGTCGAGGTAAAAATCCCCAGCTCAGATTTGTTCTGCTCTTATTTGAGCTGCTGCAAGCATGTGTGGGTACACCTTGTGTGGCCTGTAAAGTGTCTTATCCATTATGTGGCAATAGCATTCACCAAGATTTTAGAACTGATATCCGAAAGATACATTTCTGGTTAGTGAATGATTGAGTTGTTACTTATCTTTGACTCATGAAGCAACACAAAACAGTATTAATGTGACATTATAACATCCATTGAATTTCTTACCTGAGCATCCATGGGTTTAATCACTTTCATAAAGGCACCTCTTACCAAGGCTTCCTCACGCTCACTTCTGGTTACTTTCCGAGTATCAAGGAATTTCAGGTTGGTTAATTTGTGCAGAACAAAATACCTAACAGAGATGAAAAGATGTTTCAAGTTAAAATCCACATTCAGAGATAAAGCTATCTTCACAAATTAAATTATCCAAAATATCATAATAATGGCCTTCCTTCCCCCGCCTGTTTACCTACCACCTGGAATCTAGACTATGACTGTCTTTTGAGGAAACTGATCCTACTTTTCTGTTCAACTGCAATACTCAACAAATATTATTGTTTCAATATGACCCAGACAAAGTTTGAAAATAGGACTGCAATTCTGCCTTGCTATAAAGATGGGCCCTCTTCATGCAGGTTGGTTCCACAATCAAGTTTTGATTCAGAAATCCATATTCATACACACACCCATTTTGAAGGGTATTCACATTCAAAGCCTCTGTCTGGATCTGTCACTAGTCCTCTCTAACTAGATGTTAAGGGCACAATCCAAAAAACTCCAGACATACCACTGATTCCTCAAGTACAGAAGGAAACAGCATGGACTGGTTCAGAAACAAAGACAACACACCAAAGCATGGAAAAGGTGATAATATCTAACCATCTCAAGTACCTGTTATTTACATTCAGTCAACCATATGTGGAACAGACTTTTGCAAAGAGGAAAGTATGATAATCTTTTCTTAGGAAAAGATGGAAAGATGATTGATAATATTTCCCAGGCCTAGCTTCTTCTTTTGGTATTCCCATAAACATCTGGACAGTAAATCTAACTGATAATTATACCACATTTTAAACCAAATATAAGACAACCCTGAATACAAGATGACCACACCCCAATAATTTGAATCTATATATGGAACATTTATAAAATTGTTATAATTTTCCAAGTGTAGAATCAGAAAACTTTCTTGAATTCATGGCCCTCTCACTGCTACAGCAAGAAAAAGAGTCATGGGGATGGGTGGTGGTCAGGTAGCCCCCTTGCCTTCTGCCCCCCCCCCCCCCCCCC